TAAGGACTGCCCTACATATAAGATTACAAGGAAAGAAACTGTCCTCTCAGCACATGCCAGTAGTGGCCACAGCAGCTTATGCAAATGGGAGTTTTACTGTACCAGGACTGTCCTGCATACTCTGTATTAATTCTCCACTTCAATCCTTTCACAAAGCCCTCAAATATGAAGTCCTATATACATCAAGCTATAGTTTTTTAAGAAGCCAAATTTTAAAGGTTAATCAAGTTACTTATTATAGTCACTTTATAGTTGGCTGAATCCCACGAGTCTTGAGTTTCAGAACCTATGCCCCAACCAGCCCTCTAGACTCCTACCTGATTAGTGATATTATTTTTAATTGTTTTAGATTTATTTATGTATAGGAGTGTTTTGCTTGCATGTATGTTTGTGCATGATTGGTGTCCTCAGAGATTAGAAGAGTGGGTCAGACCCCCCCAAAACTGGAGTTAGGTTTGTCTTAGCCACCATGTGTCCTAGGAACCGAAACCAGGTCCTCTGCAAGGAACAAGTACTCTTAACCAATGAGCCATCTCTCCAGCTTCACATGTTATTATTCATTACATTATTCTTTGTATTCTTATATAGATAAAGAATAGAGACTATCAGTAATTTAAAATTGTAGAATTAATTCATTAAGTAAAAATGTTTTTGAGTGATTATCTGTGAAGTTAATAATTAGTAGATTCTCCATCAACACCTCATGTGTTACATGTGTTTTATTTGTTTGGAAGCAGAAGGGTCAGTTCATGTCTACTACATAGCAAGTTCAAGACCAGCTTTGGCCATGTGAAATTCCATCTGAAAATAAAAAGAACCTGCTGATACAGTGGGGAAAAATACGAATGTCATTGATGATTTTCATTCCTGGATTATTATTTCATTCCTTACCATGGTACAGATTCCCTCCCATTAGGAAAAGATAAAGAATTAAAGTGTCTTTTAGGAGGTTGGAGGTTACAGAGGCTGGGTTTTTTTTTTTTTTCAGATTTTTTTTTTTATTTGAATTAGAAACAAGATAGTTTTACATGTCAATCCCAGTTCCCTTCTCCCTCCCATCCTCCCCTACCACCTCCCAACTAAAACCCTACCTATCACATATCCTTTTTTCTATTCTTCCCCTGACTCAACCTTTCTGCTCCCTCATGACCTCGGCATCCTGCCTCTTCTTCCCTTCTCATTCTTGTAGCTCCCTCCCCACTCTTCCCATGCTCTCAATTTGTTCAGGGGATCTTGACCCTTTCCCTTCTCCAGGGGACCGAGTATATCTCTCTTAGGGTCCTCCTTGTTTACTAGCTTCACAGAAGCTGTTTTTTAATATAGGAAATGGTGTCCCATTTCAGAGAGAGATTCTGGAAAGCAAAGTAGAAATATAGAATCATGTAAATAAAAACAAAGATGCTAAAAGTAGAGATTGCTTCTAAGTAATTATCTTACACCTGCTATGACTACAAGTAGACATGCTTTTATAGAGGATTGGATAGATGTGTGTATAACAAGAAATGGACTAAGGTCAGAAAACTCACTATGATTTTCTTTCTTCTACACAACTACATAACTGAGTTTGTTGGTTTTTAAATGTGGTTTTGGCCATCAGTTAGTGACTTGGTTATTGACATCTTTAGCTCCACATGTTTGCCTAGTGTAAGTGCCTCCTGGAAACTGACAGCTGCCATCATCATTTATTTGTTCGTTTTTTTAGAGCTATCCTTGAATAATTGGTTTTTGAATTCTTTTTTAATTATTCTACTGCAGCAAGCCCATTGTAATTCATATAGCCCCAATCAGAGTTTGAAAATGATTTCACTAAGTTTCAGAATGAAAATCAGTGTCACAAGAATATTTTAAGTGATAGCAACAAAGATTATAAGCCATTTTCTTCCTGTACCTGAAATTGAGAAGGCTTAGTGCTCTTCTCTTGTCTCTGACATCAGGTGGCAGGTCCATAAACTCTGTGC